TCAACGGTTTCGTCAATCGTCAGCGATTCGTCTGTATCGTCATTTGACGAAACCATTCGTCAATTCAAAAATAGTTTTGTCAAGCATCTTTAGTGGGGGTTTGTGATTCGATCAGGTCCTATATTTTTGCAGTTAAATTTAATTGGCTAATATTTGAATCAGGTGGGGGTGGGGTATAGCCTTTTAGTAACTTGAAATCACCTGATTTCTGACCCTTCCCAAAGTATATAAAGTTGAAGATAAAAAACAAATATAAATATGATTTACATAAAGAGACTGTCATCTAAATCATCAAAGTTAGAACTATGGAATTTAATTATAGATAAATTGTTGCAAACTAAATGATAGCAATAATAATTAAAACAAAGATATTATGATTAGTATTTGATAAAATAAATAAAAGTAATCATAAATCTATTAGCAATATAAAATCTATAGCTATTACAAAATAAGATTGTTTTTGTTTTACTAAGTTAACGTTTTCTACTTCTAATAAAGTTGTAGTCCTATTGATCAATTCGAACTTGAATTCAATTACAAATGCTTTAAACAGTTTTATCAATATAATTTGCTAGTAATTGAGATATGTAATTATATCAGAAAGGTAGTTAATAAAGTGTATAGTTAAATTCGAGTTAGATATTCATATATAAACTTTGATTCTGATTAAAGATTAAAATCTATAATTGTACAAGATTTGTGTTTTCTATACACTTACATTTAGGCTATATAACTTGTGTTTTATTGATATATTTTAAGATTTGGATTATTAGATTTTATAGTAAAGTTAATTTTATTAGAACCGATATACAATTCTTTCAGAGTATTGTTTGTGCGAAATGCATTTTCTAATGCTTTTCCCTCTTCAGGTCCAAGATTATTATTCCAAACGCCTAAAATAGTCAGCGTTGTGTTCATGCAAAGCGCATTTGCTAATGCTTTTCCATCTTCAGATCCAAGATTATTACCACTAAGAAACAAAGAAAGCAGCGTGGAGTTTTTGCAAAGTGCATATATTAATGCTTTTCCTCCATCAAATCCAAGTTCATTCCAACTAAGATCTAAAGAAGTTAGCGCGGTGTTCTTGCAAAGTGCATCTGCTAATGCTTGACCACCTTCTGATCCAAGATTATTTGAATCAAGCTTTAAAATTTTTAGCGTGGTATTCTTACAAAGTGCGCTTGCTAATGCTTGTCCTCCTTCTGATCCAAGATTATTTTGACAAAGCATTAAAGAAGTCAATGTAGAGTTCTTGCAAAGAGCATTTGCTAATGATTTTCCTCCTTCTGATCCAAGATTATTGCTTTGAAGCTCCAAAGAAGTCAGAGTAGTGTTATTACAAATTGCATCTGCCAATGCTTTTCCTCCTCCTGATCCAAGATTATTTGAATGAAGATTCAAATTTTTCAACGCAGTGTTCTTGCAAAGTGCATCTGCCAATGCTTTTCCACCTTCTGATCCAAGATTATTATTACCAAGATACAAAAAAGTCAGCGTGGAGTTCTTGCAAAGTACATCTGCAAGCGCTTTTCCATCTTCCGAACCAAGATTATAACCTTCAAGATTTAAATAAATTAGCGTGGAGTTCTTGCAAAGTGCACCTGTTAATATTGATTTATTTGTTTTATTAATAGTATTATCAAGTGCTAAATATTTAAGATTTTTACTTGCTCGCAAAAACATTGCAATTAGAGAACATTTAATGGCATTTGAAAGTTCATAATTATCTCTTCCTAAGTGATATCCTTTATCTTCAAGCCAATTTTCGACACCACAGATCAAATCAAAACCTGTAGATGTAATATAACTTTCATACTCAAATAATGGCTTTGAACAATTTGGAAGAATAATTTTAAAGGGGATCAACTGAGCCTGTTCTTCAGCTTTTAATGCTAAAAGAAATATTCTTATAACTCTTTTATCACTAAGATAAGGTGCGCTCCATAATATTGGAACAATAATTCTACACCATAGACGATTTACAAGAAGGCATGAGAATAAGCTTTTATAATCAATTCGATTAATTCGAACATTATTAAATATTTTATAATCAATAATTCGAACATTATTAAATATTTCGATAAGGCATTCGTTCGGTAACGTTATCATTTTGAAAGGATTTTGAAAGGATTTTGAAAGGATTTTGAAAGGATTATTGAATTAGTATACTGTAATGGTAAAAAAAAAAATAAATATGGATTTTATATCCGTTATATCAGTCAGGTATTTTACGCGATATAGAAATGATCTGCAATATACTAAAAGGTTATTCTAAACCCGATTTCTATTTAAAAAAGTGGTTGTGTGCCAAAAAATAACAGCCATAGAATTGGAAAAAAATTTCCAATTGAAGATCTTTTATCAAAAAGAGAAATGATCTGCGTTACACGAATTTGAAAATATATTTTAAAAATGAGTGTCACTTAGTCAGCGTATGTATCATGTTTACCTCAAACGTACAACAAAAGGGAGGAAGTATCCCTAAGAAATCTTGTTTACTTTGTAAGGAATATATTTCTGAATCTGATTTTAGGAAATATAACTCGTTACATTGTGTTCATTGTTATAATTCTTTGTCAGTACAAAATACTGTTCCATTTAATTTTTCATTATCAATAAATAATAATGAAAGAAAAATCACTGAAAAACCAACTAAACAAAAAACTCAAAGTTCGAATCCTCCATATACTAATAACACCGTGACTATTCAAGAGGAAAATAAGATTTTACACCAAAAAATCAAAAAATTAACCAACGAACTCAATGAGCTTAAGATATCGAATGAAAAATTAACCAACGAATGAAAAATCAGTTCAACCTAAAAATTACGGAACTTCAAATGTTAAGATTGGAAAAGATTTCGAAAATGCAATTAGTAAAGTTTTAGGAAAGAAAGGGATTCCATGTATTGTTGTTGGTGGTAGTGGAGATTATGGTATTGATATTATTGCATTTTATAAGAAAAAGGTTATTTTAATCCAATGCAAAAGTCAAGAATCTTCATTAGGTATAAATGTTATTACCACAATGAATTCTGCTATTAATATGGCTGATGGTTCTTTTGGCATTATTGTTTATGATAGTAACAAAATAGTTCATCATGATAGTTCTTTAACATCACAAGCAAAGTGTTTAGTAACATATATTGGTACTAATAATATTAGAATCGCAACAGAAAAACTATTTTTCAACAAATTACAGAAATGATCCGTTAAGCTAAATATATTGTTTTTTTCGAAACTCACAAACACAAAATTTAGGTATAATTAAGATCCAATTATTATAAGGTCGAATTATTTTGGTTAAAATTTTAACCATTTTACTACCAATTTGTTTGTGTTTTATTTATGTACGAAAAAGAAATTGACGTTCAATATTATATGATGAATTAATAAATTTATTATGACTCAAGTTTATTCTCAATATGTGGGTTTAATAATTCTTTAAAAATTAAGCAAATTAATGTATACGCTAATGTCTTATATAAAAACATTACATATTTAATAATAAATTACATTCTTCTAAATAAAATCTTATTTCTAACTATATCAAACTCAGCTACTATATTTTTTGATTCACGAATTCATCGATAATATTTTTTACTGAGTTATTAGTTAAAGTAACATCACTTGATACGGAACTAATAGAAATATTACTTGTAATTAACATTGTATCATTATTAACCCGTTTTGGATGTTCTATAGAGTAGGTGGGCAATATAAGAAATAACCTTCGCTAATGATTAGTAATCATTAATTTTTTAATAGCGGAGTTGCGGAGTTTGCGGAGTTTGCCCACCTATTCTAT